CTTTCTCCCACAGAGTGTGGTGGGTTCAAACCACCAAGCTTTAATTAATTAATTTTATTAATTATTAACTTAATTAATTAATTTTAAGCCAATGCCTTAATCACTATACCACCAAAGCTCCTCTAAGATGGTATAACCACTGTGGAAAACAGTATGGTACTTTTTTAAAAAGTGTGAATTATAAATACTATATGATCCAGCAATCCCACTACTAGGGATATATCCCAGAGAAATAAGAGCCATGACACAAATAGATATATGCACACCCATGTTCATCTTAGCACTATTCACAATAACAAAAAGATGAACATGACCCAAATACCCATCAATGAATGAATGGATAAATAAACTATGGTACTTACACATGATGCAATACTACACAATGTTAAAGAATAACAATGAATGTTCAACCACCCCTCATAACATGGATGAACCTGGAGGACACTATGATAAGGAAAATTAGTCAATCACAAAAGGGCAAATACTGCATGAGAACACCATTATAAAAAGTCAAGAAGAGGTTTTCACGCAGGAAAAAAAAAATGATGGTTACCAGGGGTGAGAGGGAAAAGGAGGGTAAATCATTAACTAGAAAAAACCCACTGTCACTGAGCAATTCTGATTCAAAGAGACCCTATGTGATAGGGTAGAACTGTCCCATAGGGTTCCAAGGCTATAATTTTTTTCTTAATTACAAAAACTAAAAAGTTGATTATGAAAGTACAGACCATAGAGAGCTCAGAATAATCTAACAAAAGATATACAGGCTTATTATAAAATTGGAACAATCGAGTTAGGTAGCATTGGAACAAATAGACAAATTGAATGTAATAGAGATCCTAAATTCCAAGGCAACTGATGGAGGGAGGGCTGGGGAGAAGACTACTCAGAAAATGGTGCTGACAATAAAATAAAAGTAAGTCCCTAGTTCACACCATACTTGAAAATTATGGAGCATATATTCTCACTAGGGTATGGGGACACAATGAACAACGAACCTAATAAACAAGTAAATTTATAGTATATTAAAAAGTGATGAAGGATCATGAGAAATAAAGGAAAATAAGTAGAGTAGAACCAGAAAGATCAAAAAGGGGAAGACTGCAATTTCAAAGAGGGATTTCAGAGTAGTCCTCTCTGAGAAAGTGATAGTTAAGGAGATTAAAGTGTTAGCTACACAGATATATAGAGGAAGAACATTCCAGATAGGACTAGCCAAGGCTATAAATCTTTATGGAAGCAGACTGCCTCATTTTTCTCCCATGAAGTGGCTGGTGCATTTTGAACCTCTAAACTTTTGATTACCAGTCCAATCCTTTAACCACAGGGCCATTAGAGCTCCTTTTAAACTAGAGAACAGACACACATGAACTTGGTTGAAGGGGGAGGCAATATACAAGAAAGGAGAGGTCAGCAGAAAATGATCAAGCAAAGGAAGACACTGGGAGGAGCAGAGTTAAAGGCAAACCGAGGTAAATACTTACATACAAAATCCTGCAGTACCAGTAACAACAATAATCTACAAATGGATACACAAATAAACACACAAGCTGAACAGGTGTGGGAAGACAAATGGGACTACACCTAAATATATATATATATATATATATATAGAGAGAGAGAGAGAGTGTTGACATAGGATGTTTTTACTTATCTATTTACCTATGCTGCAAATATAGCCGGGAATACAGTAGAGCACAGAAGGGGCAAAATTATGAAACTTCTTAGCCATAACCAAACACCCTGAAGGAATGAGTCACTGAGCCTTTGGGCTCAGGCCCAGAGTCTCAGGGGACATCAAGGTCAATTGGCACAATATAGTCCACACTGACAATGTTCTACATCATACACTGGTGAGTAGTGACTGGGGTCTTAAAAGGTTTTGAGGGCCATCTAACTTTTAACTGTTGGTCTCTCCCTTTCTAGAGCAAAGAAGAGAGAAAAACATCAAAGATGCATGGGAACAGTTAGTCCAAAAGATTAACGGACCACACAAGTATCAGCCTCCATGACCCTAAGGCTGGAAAAATTAGATGGGTGCCTGGCTACCACTGTCAACCACTCCGAAAGGGATCACATTAGAGAGTCTTGGTTAGAGTGGGAGAAAATATGGAACAAAAGTCAAAATAATAAGGAAGACTAAGCTCACTGGTCAGATAGAACTGGTGAACCCCCTGAGATGAGATTATGGCCCTTAGTCACCCTTCAAGTCTGGAATTGAACTCATCCCTGTGACTCAACTTTCAGCCAAACAGTAGACATGTTTATGAGGTGAAAAATAACACTAGTGTGGTATGTACCCCTTAGAAAAATCACTCATTCAAGATAAAAAAGGCAGCATCTGCCCAAAGTTCAGATAGCAGGAAGGGATACGAAAGGAGGAATGAAAATGAAATACAGGGAAAATGGGAAGAGTGCTGTTACACTGAAGGCAATTAATGGCATACAAGAAAATGTATATGAATTACTGAATGGAAAACTGATTTGTTCTGTAAATTATAACCCAAATTATTGTCATTGTGAGTCCAGTGGGAAACTTCTAGGTTGTAATACACAAGTGCATAATTTCACAAGACAACCCAGGATGCAGAATGTGGAATGCAAGATTGGGGCTTTGAATTTCTAAAATTTTCTTACACTCTCCAAACCAAAAATAAAATAAAATAAGATAAATTGCTGGCCAAACAGGACATCCATTTGCAGAAGAATGAAACAAGATCTGTACCTCACACCATACACAAGAACTAACTACAGATGGATCAAAGATGTAAATGTGAAAAGTAAAACTATAAAGTTCCTTAAGGTAAAATTAGGGGAAAATTTAGGGACCCTAATATATGGCATAAATAGATTATCAAACATAACCCAAAATGCATAAACAGCAGAAGAGAAACTAGATGAATGGGACCATCTAAAAATTAAATTTTTATGGGCTTCCAAAGACTTTAAAAGATTCAAAAGAGAACATACAGATTGCGAAAAAATATTTGGCAATGACATATCTGACAAGGGACTTATCTCTAGAATT